ATGTGTCACGGCTCTAGTGGCGTGGAGAAAGGAGCCGCGGCAAAAGGTAATGAATTGGCTTTGATATTATGCATGAAAGTATTTGTATTATGTGTGGAGCAGAGGAGCCGTTGTAGCCGTTATCTGCCTTTCCAGCGCTAACATGTAGCAAGGCAGGTTTAGCTTCATATCATGTGGACAATGGTAAATATGTTTCAGTTTGAGTGCGGCAGAAGCACGATAATAATAATGTGGGCCTTCCCCTTTAATACGACGTTTGTTTGTGTGTTGTTTTTGAGGCCCCGCCCACTTTTACAGAACAAACTTTAGAAATGACGCTGTGTGTGACGTCATGTGACTATGAATTTTTGTGAATAAATATAATTAAAGAGGTTTGAATTAAAATAAAACGGTTCATAATATTACTGTAATGAGTGACGACAAATGTGTGTGTGTGTGAGTGTGTGTGGGGAGGTTTGTGTGTGTGTGTGTATGTGTGTAGGCATGTTTGTGTGTGCGACTGTATGTGTGTAGGGAGGTTTGTGTGTGTGTGTGTAGGCATGTTTGTATGTGTTAGGGATGTTTGTGTGTGTGAGTGTATGTGTGTAGGGAGGTTTGTGTGTGTGTGTGTAGGCATGTTTGTGTGTGTAGGGAGGTTTGTGTGTGCGTGTGTAGGGATGTTTGTGTGTGTGTCTGTAGGTATGTTTTTGTGTGCGTGTGTAGGGATGTTTGTGTGTGTGTGTGTAGGTATGTGTGTGTGTGTAGGGATGTTTGTGTGTGTGTGTGTGTGTGTGTGTGTGTGTGTGTGTGTGTGTGCGTGTAGGTATGTTTGTGTGTGTAGGGATCTGTGTGTGTGCATGTGTAGGGAAGTTTGTGTGAGTGTGTGTGTGTATGTGTGTAGGGATGTTTGTGTGTGTGTGTGTGTGTGTAGGTATGTTTGTGTGTGTGTAGGGATCTGTGTGTGTGCATGTGTAGGGAGGTTTGTGTGTGTGTGTGTGTGTATGTGTGTAGGGATGTTTGTGTGTGTGTGTGTGTGTAGGTATGTTTGTGTGTGTGTAGGGATCTGTGTGTGTGCATGTGTAGGGAAGTTTGTGTGAGTGTGTGTGTGTATGTGTGTAGGGAGGTTTTTGTGTGTGTTTAAGGATGTACAGTATATGTGTGTGTAGGGATGTTTTTGTGTGTTTGTGTAGGGATGTCTGTGTGTGTGCATGTAGGGAAGTTTGTGTGTGTGTGTAGGAATGGTTGTATGCGTGTGTGTGTGTGTGTGTGTGTGTGTGTGTGCTGTATATTATAATTGTATTTGGTGAATCTAATAAATTGTGTCGTGGCAAGAGCTGTGGTGTGTTCTCTGTCTGGTGCACACTGGGGAAGTCTTGCACAGTTATTCCAATGTGGTTTCACTGCAAATGACAAATACTTTCTTGAACCTCAAACTTTACAAAGTCATAAAAGAGACTGCTTTTATTCAAATCAAAGTATTCTTGTATCGCCCTAAATCACAACAATAGTTATCTGGGAGGACTTCACAAAACCGTTGATTTCACCAACACAGATCAGAGAATCAAACTGTGAAAACACAAGAGATAAAACCGAAAACACATCGGCATTGGTCCATAAGTGTTGTTGAGAGTCCTGGATCGTCTTTGATTTAGGACTTTACAAAAATACATTGAATTACATTGAACTAACTCCACTCCTCTGCGCTCCCCTCATTATAGCCGTCCGTGTGCAATGCTAATCCCGTGTACTTCCACTCTGCAAACACACATCTCCATATTTACCCTGCGTTCTTTTACAGCCACTCTCTACCTGCCACTCTATTCTAATAAATTCTTTTGATTACTCTCACGTCTATCACCGTTCAGTCGCGGTTGTTAATCCCTTAAAACGCAGCCACCTACGGAAAACAACACGCGCCAAACCGTCAAAGCCTCCGGATGCATAATGGACTTTATAATGGACTTTTTACAACCTTATGTCATATATTTACATACTCCACGCCCGTGTTTTTGCCCTTTTCAGACCTTACCTCGTGCACTTGTGCTAATTACGCCGGTGTCTACATTGCCGAGTGGGTAAACTTCTGCTAAAGCTTTCTCGGTGAGTGTAAGTGCAAATAAGGGAGGACTTCTGCCGACTCAGCAGCTTTTCACTGGGTTATTAAGAGAGACGCCATCTAAAAGTGAAATTCTTCTTCGTTGGAAAAAGCCGGAGTGGCCCAGGTGCGTGAAGCGAAGTTGTTTGGGTTTTGATGTCCGCGGGGAGGCTGTAAAGCGTAGGAATAATTAGTCTTTGCTGAACTGTATGCTACGCCCACAGCTTTGGATGTGTTTGTAGCGGAAAACGTGTCAAGTCAGCGCCTCAAATAGTGTCCGTTCGACTAATTGCTTAAATTTGTTATAGAAAAAAAGATGTGATTTTATTAATTAGAAAAGTTTGGGAAAGATATTACTCAAAGATAAAGTTGTCGATGGGTTTAAAACTTTCAGAATATGTACCGAGATAGCATCTGTGAGGAACCTACAGCTGTTTGGATGATTGTGTCCGACTGTCTGGGAATCTTAGGCCTTTGTAGTAATACTATTTTATGTTTTATTTATTTATCTTAAACGGCACAGTGCACATTAAGATTCTATTGAAGAGAATTGGCTATAGCTTATCAAATAATTAAGGAGAATAAGATAACTGAATCAATATTCGAGCTAATTAATAGACAAGGTGACGTCATACGCACATTATCATTTGGGATTTATTCACTGGTCCTGAAATAAAGCTTTAATCAATTATTGTATTTACTACATGATTGTTTCTGACCCAATTCTCCGATATCAAATAAATAACTTAATGTTGATATCGACTTCATTAACCCCTACACGTACATTAGCATTGAAGGAAAACAAAAACAATACATTTTCCGCACAGTTAGTGGTCATAAGTCTGAGTTATAGAGTTAGAATTATGTATTTATTTGTTTTGTTTTCAGCCCCATCCACCCGTCACAGCCCCATCCACCCGTCACAGCCCCATCCACCGTCACAGACCCATCCACCCGTCACAGACCCATCCACCCGTCACAGACCCATCCACCGTCACAGCCCCATCCACCGTCACAGCCCCATCCACCGTCACAGACCCATCCACCCGTCACAGCCCCATCCACCTGTCACAGCCCCATCCACCCGTCACAGACCCATCCACCCGTCACAGACCCATCCACCGTCACAGCCCCATCCACCTGTCACAGACCCATCCACCGTCACAGCCCCATCCACCGTCACAGACCCATCCACCGTCACAGCCCCATCCACCGTCACAGACCCATCCACCCGTCACAGCCCCATCCACCTGTCACAGCCCCATCCACCCGTCACAGACCCATCCACCCGTCACAGACCCATCCACCGTCACAGCCCCATCCACCGTCACAGACCCATCCACCCGTCACAGCCCCATCCACCTGTCACAGCCCCATCCACCCGTCACAGACCCATCCACCCGTCACAGACCCATCCACCGTCACAGCCCCATCCACCTGTCACAGACCCATCCACCTGTCACAGACCCATCCACCCGTCACAGACCCATCCACCCGTCACAGACCCATCCACCCGTCACAGACCCATCCACCCGTCACAGACCCATCCACCCGTCACAGACCCATCCACCCGTCACAGACCCATCCACCGTCACAGCCCCATCCACCGTCACAGCCCCATCCACCGTCACAGACCCATCCACCCGTCACAGCCCCATCCACCTGTCACAGCCCCATCCACCCGTCACAGACCCATCCACCCGTCACAGACCCATCCACCGTCACAGCCCCATCCACCTGTCACAGACCCATCCACCTGTCACAGACCCATCCACCCGTCACAGCCCCATCCCCCGTCACAGACCCATCCACCCGTCACAGACCCATCCACCGTCACAGACCCATCCACCGTCACAGACCCATCCACCCGTCACAGACCCATCCACCCGTCACAGACCCATCCACCGTCACAGACCCATCCACCGTCACAGACCCATCCACCCGTCACAGACCCATCCACCCGTCACAGACCCATCCACCCGTCACAGACCCATCCACCGTCACAGACCCATCCACCGTCACAGACCCATCCACCCGTCACAGACCCATCCACCCATCCACCCGTCACAGACCCATCCACCGTCACAGACCCATCCACCGTCACAGACCCATCCACCCGTCACAGACCCATCCACCGTCACAGACCCATCCACCGTCACAGACCCATCCACCCGTCACAGACCCATCCACCGTCACAGACCCATCCACCCGTCACAGACCCATCCACCCGTCACAGACCCATCCACCCGTCACAGACCCATCCACCCGTCACAGCCAGAGCTGGAGGATTGGACCTGTTGTACATGTTTTAGTGATGGGGGAAACCGGAGCAAAGTGCTTTGTGACTTTGGTCCGTGAAAGCTGCTCTATACAGTAAATAAACATTACTTACTTATACAAACAAAATACAGTTCTATCACAAGTTTTCCACACGCATATTTTTTATTTTTTTCATGCAGCAAAGTGACAAAGAGAGGACCACCTTCACTCAGCCAATCAAAAGCCAGCATGTTTTCGGCTGTTTTTTTTTACTTTTTTCTTTCAGACTGAGACAAACAACATGTTCTAACCCGGCTCCAGGTGCAAGAATAGCTGTTTTTTTTTCATTTCCATTTGATCTCTGCGGGGAAGACGTATAGAACATGTGGGTTTCTTTACTTGCTTAAACACAAACTCTCCGACGGCCTAGATTCCTCCGAACAAACAATACTTTTGTGATATTTTAGACGCATTTCCACACGCGGTAAACATGTTATGGAAGACTGTATGGATTCCCAGCGTGGGACTAAAAGCATTGATGTGGTTAAAACGTCGGGTATAAATAGCCTTTTTATGTGCAATAGTCGTTGTGGCGCTCGTAAGAACTGTTTTCCTCTGTCTCCAAATCCACAAACTGTAATCTGGATCTTTGTTTATTTCCCCCGAGTGTTTTTGTCAAATTGAGCCGTGATTCAAATGGTAAAAGTCCTGGCTGCTTAGCGGATGACTCACATAGACTTAGAAAACACTTCCAGTTATAAGGGCCCTGATTGTAGCAAAGAAACAGTGGGAACAGGGAGTAACTAAGTAATGTTTGTTTATGTAGCGCCGTTCGCAGACCAGAGTCACAAAGCGCTTTATAATTGTTTTGGGCATTTGTCTCTGAGATGGGAGCGAGGTCGTCTACAGGAGGCACATGTCAGACCTACTGTGCATGTTTTTAGTGGTAGGGGGAAAACCGGAGCACTCGGAGGAAACCTACGCAGACACGGGGAGAACATGCAAACTCCAGACAGAAAAGGCCTGGAGGTGGAATCGTGCCTCAGGACGACGCTGTAGGGCTCTTGGGTGTTGGACAAATCAGTTGGGAATTACATTTATCCCAACAGCTGTGAGGCACCTTAACAGCACATAGCACTTTATAAAAACAGAAATACAAAATCAGCTTTGGGACAATTTCTCTTGTTCTGGTTTTCTTCAATGTTGTGATTTTACTGCGTCTGGTTATTTCGCCGAGTGGGACAGTAAAGAATGCTAAATGGTTCAAAGTATAATGCCAAATGCATTGTCAGCATTTTTCATAAAGTTAACATTCCTCCAGTGGATTTTCACTTGATCCATTTGGTTCGGACCATGAATCCTCTCTGCTCTGGACCAGAGTAAAACCATGAATCCTCTCCGCTCTGGTCTGGACCAGTGTAAAACCATGAATCCTCTCTGCTCTGGTCTGGACCAGTGTAAAACCATGAATCCTCTCTGCTCTGGTCTGGACCAGTGTAAAACCATGAATCCTCTCTGCTCTGGTCTGGACCAGTGTAAAACCATGAATCCTCTCTGCTCTGGTCTGGACCAGTGTAAAACCATGAACACTGAACTCCAGCAATATCTCAGGCAGAAAAAAGCAGAAAAATAACAATAGTAAAACACAAAACAAAAACTGTTTCAGAGACACTTTGGACTCGCTGCAGTTTCCAGAAGATTCAAAAATAAACAAAAAAGCTAAAGTAAAGATAATTTGAACTTGAACTCTTGTAGTTTTGTGATGGAGTGAGTTTTCTTTGTCCTTTGTATTAACGTCAGAGCACAAACCTGAATAATGAGATCCATAAGCACTGAGCAGTAAAAACACTTTGGGATAAAAGGTTTTGGGAGAAAGACCCAAACACAAATATGTCCTGGACGACAAACCGCCCTCTCTCTGGATCAGACGAAAGGCATTAGCTCCTGTTTCCTCCGCCATTTTGGGAAAGTTGTCAAATTTAAACCAATCAAAGAAGGGTCTAAGATGGCTGATTTTGGATTCTTTTCATGTGCATGCGCAAAAATAACAACAATGATGCTTGTATTACGTTGTTGTTGCTTGACTGTAGTTTGAAGTGGATTTTTACAAGTTTAAAGATAATAAGACATTATAATATTAGAGAAAAAAGTCTGAGCAGTGAGTTTTTAAGCTTGTTTTAAGTATTTTTCTTATTTCCAGACTATTTTTCCTTTTTAGATAGAATACATAATTATTTGTTATGCTATATTTTAAGAAAACATTTCTCAAAATAAAAAAGTAAATAACACTTGAAATGTATGTTTTTCAGGGTGCATCAGACCTTTCCTTTTTTGCTTCCTTGATTATTTTCCCACGGATCCTCGAACAGCACCTGACCTTTCCCAGTCTTATGTTTTTGGATTCCTTAAAGCACTCACTCCAAAATCTGTCACCGCTGGTTCCTCTCGTCCTGCACACACTCACAGCTGTATCTCGAGCCTCTTCAACATACACATCCCTCGACATTTAAAAACCACAGAAAACAAACGCGAGACACTTCACAGACTTGTCGCTCGCTAACAAAAGCTAGCTCCGTGTTTTCGGGGCTATAGCTAGAACCAAATGAAAAGTCAGCAGGAGCATGTTGTCTGGAGGCTTCAGTGGCCCTCCTCCCGGAGCCCTGCAGCCGCACAAAGCAGCGCCTTGATGAGTGAAGCCGCTTCGCACAAACACTGGAGAAATTGTCTGTAAAGCGAGCGGCAAAATCATTGGCAATTCTCGTCAGGTCTGGGCTAAGCATTGCTCGCTGCTGCAAAGCCGAGATAGCAGAATGGAAAGCCGAACGGATACAGAATAATTACTCTAACCCTTCTTTTTTTTGAGCCACGAGCAAGATTTTTTCACTTCGCAGCTACGCATGTTACCCAGGTTAAACTACACAGCGGCTTAGCTCTGCTCGCTGGGCTGCTTTGCACATGCTGAGCAAAAAGAAGAAGAAGAAGAAAAAAAGAAAAAAGGCGTCTCTTTTTGTGATAAACTCAGAGAGAATGCTTAGTGCTAACATTATGACGACCCGCACTTTCGCTACATATGTTCTAATTTAAGCAATTGCCGTGACTGGCTTTGAATGGGATTGGATTCTTCGGGGAAAGTATTGCTGGTGGTTGCGAATGGTTCCAGAAGTAGGACGCCCCAGCTGCAGCACAGTCGGCCTCTGTCACAGGAGAGAGTTAGCCCCGCTTCACCAGAGCATGGGGGATGTGAGCTTAAAGACTTCTGCTGGATAAAGTGAACGTCATAGGCTCCATCCCACTGGGCAAAGAATACACAGATTTTGACCAATAAAGCGTTTTCTCTCTCCCTGAGCAACATGGGCTGGTGGGTCGTAACCACTTGGCTTTTAACACGTTTTATGACCTCGACTTTTCACCAACACTAGCAGTAGGCTGTAAAGTTCCAAAATGCTGTTGTGTCGTAGGCAAGTGTGGAGTCTGGTGTGTGTGTGTGTGTGTGTGAATGGTTGGTGGTGGCGGGAGGGGCCTATGGCACAGACTGGTTGCCTCGCTTCTGTCAGTGTGCCCCAGGGCACAGTAGTGGTACAGTAGTAGTTTATCACCACCGTGTATGGAGTGAGAGAAAAATGACATGTGAAGCGTCTTTAAGTGTCCAAAAAGCGCGATATAAAACCGATGCATTATTATTAGAAGCAAATCATTAGAAGCAAAATCAACCATTCACACACTCACCAGACTCATTCTAATGTGGGTGAAGTGTCTTGCCTAATGACACAACCACAGTTTGGTACTTTACAGTCGCAGCCGGCCCACTGTGGCACCTGCTGTTTCCAGAGGTCTCCCGTTACGTAGTAACCATACCCTGCCCTGCTTAGCTACAGAGGTCTGACAGGATCTGGCTTTCGCTTTCAAGTATGGCCACATATTTTTCTAATTTGTCGAGAATATGAATCCTTTAGACAGAAACAAAAAGTGTTTTCAAACCACCGGGAGAAAAAAACCACATCACACAATATTTGCAAAATGAGTGGAAAGAAGTGAAACCTCTCATTTATTAAGTTTTCCAGTAAAGATACTTTTCCATTATGATGTGATTCCCTCTGGCCCTGGTGGAGCTGCACTGTGACTTTAGGAGAGTGAAAGTCAGAAGTTTTTTTTATTCCCTTTGACTTTGACATGTCCCTGTCTTCCAAAGCCAAAATAACCGTGAAACCTTTTCCACCGTTGTCCCGGGGCCACAGACCGTTACGAGTCGGTATCTCCAGAGAAACTACAAGTATAGAGTCCATCTCAATCTTCCTAAACAGACACTGGACCACATTATTATTACTAATATTATTATTATTTTGTTCTCAATCCAACAATCTAAACAGAACATGATCACCTCTCTCCTTCTCTGTAAGAATGTACAGTATAAGACCTGTTTCTCATTAGTATATAACACATGTCACATCTCCATTTGGATTTAAAACAGTAGACTTCAACTTCCACAACTTAGTTCTGTGATGCAGCTCTGAGCTCTGGCTCTTTAGGCGACAGCAAAGACTCCACTCTGACTGTGGCCCCGTCCACACGCAGCGGGGTCTCTGCTAAACCGCGGATATTTGTCTTTGTTTGCATCTGTCATCCACATGACAACGCTTCATAAACGAATATATAAAAAACCTCCGAGCAAAGTGGAGATTTTTGAAAACTCTGTTTTTTTTTTCCCCGACGCAGGACGTCAGACATGTTTGGAATGTGATGAATGTGACTGAAAACGCAGATGTTCGGTTATGTGTGGATGCAAATTGTTTTACAAACGGAGGGGACGGAAGTATTCGGTTTTAAAAATACCCGACTCTGTGTGAACATGGCCTGCATATCAAGTCAGCAATCAGCAGAGTTTTTCTTCCAGTTTTTTCTTACCTGGTTAAACCCTGACAGATCATCCACGCATCACTGAGTCAGAAAAGATGATCATAGAGCGAAGGAAGTTAAACTGTAGCCTCTAAAATCAGCTTTGTTAAAAACTGCAGTGATTAGTCATGCTTTTAATGCACTGTATTATTAAAGTACTGTTTATTTATATAGCACATTTTACAGGTCACCCAATGAGCTTATAATGTTCAGTGTTCAGATATTTTTCCATTCTCTCACTCTTTACATTCACACATGTTGTTTGTAGGTAGGGAAACTTAGACAGACACAGGGAGAACATGCAAACTTCACAAAGGCCTGTAAGTAAATAAGTAATCTTATTTATACACCGCCTTTCACAGACCGGAGTCACAAAGCAGTTTACAATTGACTCCACACAGAGATGGAGGCGGGGCCAGTACAGGAAGCACATGCCAGACCTGTTGTACATGTTTTTAGTGGTAGGAGAAACCGGAGCACCTGGAGGAAACCTACGCAGATACAGGGAGAGCATCGAAACTCCACTCAGAAACTCCCTGTTCCGAACGGGATATAAAACCCAGGACCTTTTTGCTGAGATGTGAGTTAGCTAACCACTCAGCCACCGTGCTGCCCAGGCCTGGAGGTGGAATAGAACCCACAAACAAAAGTGCCACAGTGCTGCCCCAACTGTTCCATGGTCCAAACCTGTCCAAATGTCATATCCCCATATCCCTCTCAACATTTTTGGATTCAAAGCTGGGCGACCACAAATGAAAATGGAAAACCGGCTAATTTATGATCTGCAAATGTTCCGTCCGGTCTTTCGTCCTCTCCTTTCATGACTCGTTCTCTACCGGCTCTCCATCCTCCTCCGTGCTCTACCTCGGCTGAACACAAGTGCCTCCGCTCGCTCCGTGCATCACCTTGATTGCCGTAATCACCGAACTATCTTCAAACGACAGTCTGATTGAAGAGCCCTGATTGAATTGAACGGAGAAATAAACACCCACAATGCACTGGCCGTTTTATGCTCCAGCCTCACCATCAGCGCCTTTTCATGAGGTACCCATAAAAGAGCTTTTCGTTCCGTCCGTTTTTATCGTTGACACACGGAGCACTTTCAATCCAAACGTGTCACTTTTCATTTGTATATTTGTCACAGGTAAAAAAATAAGGCTGTATTTCTTGAGGAAATTAGCGATGACTTGGCAACAGCCGCGGCCATGTTTATTTCACCTGTTTTATAATTCATTACGGAAGCGTGTTGGGCTGACGGCTTAATGGTAAATGATACGGGACGTGGCAGGCGAGCTCGGGACGGGTGGGTGTAATTTCTGTCACGCCGCGGAGGTCGGTGCCAGCAGATAAAAAATAAAATCAAAGAAGTGTCAAAGAAGGAAGCTGCAGTCGCTGCAGAAGTCAGAAGTCTTTGTGGAGTGACTTTAACGACGGGGAAGTCAGACGTGGAGGTTGCCAGAGTTTGTCCGTGCCAATACCGGCTTGAAAGTAAAAGTTTAATATCAAGTTGGCACAGTTTCACCAAGCAACACAATGGGCTCGTTCGTGAGGCTTTTCTGATATTGTTTGGCGGAGTATGTTTTTGTTTTGTTTGGTAGAGTTGGGTTGTAAATTGTATTGATTCATCCTTTTAGAAAATTGGGAACTGGAGGTGTGTCCGTGTGGATGGGTCTGGGCCTCTCTGCTCAGACAGCTGCCCCCGAACACCCGGATGAAGCGGAAGAAAATGGATGGATATTGTGGGTTTGGATACTTCTTGTTCACAAGCCAGAAGAGAGAGAGAGGGGGAGAGAGTGAGAGAGACAGAGAGAGAAACAGAGAGACAGAAAGAGAAAGAGAGACAGAGACAGAGAGAGGGACAGAGACAGAAAGAGAGTGAGAGAGAAAAAGAGACAGAGAGAGACAGAGAGAGAGACAGAAAGAGAGACAGACAGACACAGAGACAGAGTGAGAGAGAAAGAGAGAGAGACAGAAAGAGAGAGAGAGAGAGAGAGACAGAGAGAGTGACAGAAAGAGAAAGAGAGACAGAGAGAGAGAGGGACAGAGACAGAAAGAGTTAGATAAATGGACAGAGAGAGAGACAGAGAGACACAGAGAGAGAAGGTAAGTAAGTAATGTTTATTTATTTAGCGCATTTTACAGACCAAGGTACAGACCCAAAGCACTTTACAATGTTCAGAGTCAGATATTGTTCCAGTCGTTCCACACACGGTGATGACAGAAGCGAGAGGACAGTACAGAACACAAATACCAAGAACAACGAGAAACATTTCAATATATTTTGGCCAAATGAGGATGTACTCTCTTCTTTTTCAATACATTTAAAAGTTTCTGTCTCCTCCGAATCAAAGCCTCCTTCTCCTAGATCCGACGCATACTTTGACTTCTTATGTTTTGGAACTGTAATCAAAAATAAAATACTTTTATTTTTAATCTGTCACAATATGTTTTGACTGAGAGGACAGACTGTCAAAGCCCACGCCGCTCACTGCTCTCTGCAAACACACTGTGATCATCCGACTTAATTGTCATGAAAGAAGAATCGTGAACTTAGCAGCAGAAGTCGGTGCCAAAAGAGCGGGAAAAGTCACGAGCCTGGCACATCAACGGCTTTTCCCGCTTCACGCTGGCACCGTTTCATCACAAAACACAATGGTGCCTTTTGCGTGGCCTTCCAGACTGACAAGGTTGGCTTCTTTCATCCCTTTGCTTTTTCTTTTTGCTTTTTTTGCTTTTAACAATGTTTGGTCGGCGTCTTTTTGGCGGAGAAAGTTGTCACGCGCCCAGCTCCTCAATCTGAGACACTTGTTTACGGCGCAGATGAGTTCGCTGATGAAAGCTCGGCTCTCTCACTAAAAAATTGGCTGTCTGAAGGCGCGGCGTTCCGGTGTCGGCGAACGAGCTGAAGGCTGACGGGAGCAGGGAGCAGACACGTCCCGGAAACGATCCCAAAGCAGAGAGAAGGAAGTGAGGTACGTGCTGCTGAAGGAGAGAGGTTTGACGGCACGGCTTTATGAAATGTTGTGGAGGTTTTATGAAGAGATCAGCTTCAGCGGCGGGAGGAGTAAGAGTGGGAAAGATGTTAGGATCGTTGGGCAGTTGGATAATTATGGATTTAGAAACCGCTAATCCCGCAGAAGCTAAAGTCTAAAGCTAGCTAAAGTCGTCTGAAGACTAAAGCAAGGTTGTAGCACTTTTACTTATCCTTGTAGGGAGATTCAGCCTCTGCATTTGACCCATTCTGAGGCCACGAGGGCAGGGGGGTCCAAACCTTAGTTTATCAGGCTAGTCCAGGGGCCAACGTCACTGACTGAAAAACGGTATTGACTGGCATCGGGCTGTTCTGAGATTTATGATCTATGACAGAGTTGAAGTTGGCTGAATGACATATGTTTACCATCTTACCAGCTTCATTATTATCATTAACGGAAGTTTGTGACACAATTAAAAACCACGTCAGTACTGTATGTGCATATGAAGTCAACGACACACTGGACTTTAGAGCAAGGTGTGTGTTGGCTGAGCTGAAGTTGGATGGATGACACAGTGAACTTGTGGGTTAGCATGGTAGAGGACCACTTAAACACACATTCACCTGCTGCACACACACATTCACCTGCTGCATACACACATTTACCTGCTGTATACACACATTTTCCTGTTGCATACACTCATTTACCTGCTGCATACACACATTTACCTGCAGCATACACACATTTACCTACTGCATACACTCATTTACCTGCTGCATACACTCATTTACCTGCTGTATACACACATTTACCTGCTGCATACACACATTTACCTGCTGTATACACTCATTTACCTGCTGTATACACACATTTACCTGCTGCATACACACATTTACCTGCTGCATACACACATTTACCTGCTGCATACACACATTTACCTGCTGCACACACACATTTACCTGCTGTACACACACATTTACCTGCTGCATACACACATTTACCTGCTGCATACACACATTTACCTGCTGCATACACTCATTTACCTGCTGTATACACACATTTACCTGCTGCATACACACATTTACCTGCTGCATACACACATTTACCTGCTGCATACACACATTTACCTGCTGCATACACTCATTTACCTGCTGTATACACACATTTACCTGCTGCATACACACATTTACCTGCTGCATACACTCATTTACCTGCTGCATACACACATTTACCTGCTGCATACACACATTTACCTGCTGCACACACACATTTACCTGCTGTACACACACATTTACCTGCTGCATACACACATTTACCTGCTGCATACACACATTTACCTGCTGCATACACTCATTTACCTGCTGTATACACTCATTTACCTGCTGCATACACACATTTACCTGCTGTATACACTCATTTACCTGCTGTATACACACATTTACCTGCTGCATACACACATTTACCTGCTGCATACACACATTTACCTGCTGCATACACACATTTACCTGCTGCACACACACATTTACCTGCTGTACACACACATTTACCTGCTGCATACACACATTTACCTGCTGCATACACACATTTACCTGCTGCATACACTCATTTACCTGCTGTATACACACATTTACCTGCTGCATACACACATTTACCTGCTGCATACACTCATTTACCTGCTGCATACACACATTTACCTGCTGCATACACACATTTACCTGCTGCACACACACATTTACCTGCTGTACACACACATTTACCTGCTGCATACACACATTTACCTGCTGCATACACACATTTACCTGCTGCATACACTCATTTACCTGCTGTATACACACATTTACCTACTGCATACACACATTTACCTGCTGCATACACACATTTACCTGCTGCATCCACACATTCACCTGCTGCATACACACATTTACCTGCTGCAAACACACATTTACACGCTGCATACACACATTTACCTGCTGCATACACACATTTATCTGCTGCATACACACATTTACCTGCTGCATACACACATTTACCTGCTGCATACACACATTTACCTGCTGCATACACACATTTACCTGCTGCATACACACATTTACCTGCTGCATACACACATTTACCTGCTGCACACACACATTTACCTGCTGTAGACACACATTTACCTGCTGCATACACACATTTACCTGCTGCATACACACATTTACCTGCTGCATACACTCATTTACCTGCTGCATACACACATTTACCTGCTGCATACACACATTTACCTGCTGCATACACTCATTTACCTGCTGTATACACTCATTTACCTGCTGCATACACACATTTACCTGCTGTATACACTCATTTACCTGCTGTATACACACATTTACCTGCTGCATACACACATTTACCTGCTGCATACACACATTTACCTGCTGCATACACACATTTACCTGCTGCACACACACATTTACCTGCTGTACACACACATTTACCTGCTGCATACACACATTTACCTGCTGCATACACACATTTACCTGCTGCATACACTCATTTACCTGCTGTATACACACATTTACCTGCTGCATACACACATTTACCTGCTGCATACACTCATTTACCTGCTGCATACACACATTTACCTGCTGCATACACACATTTACCTGCTGCACACACACATTTACCTGCTGTACACACACATTTACCTGCTGCATACACACATTTACCTGCTGCATACACACATTTACCTGCTGCATACACTCATTTACCTGCTGTATACACACATTTACCTACTGCATACACACATTTACCTGCTGCATACACACATTTACCTGCTGCATCCACACATTCACCTGCTGCATACACACATTTACCTGCTGCATACACACATTTACACGCTGCATACACACATTTACCTGCTGCATACACACATTTATCTGCTGCATACACACATTTACCTGCTGCATACACACATTTACCTGCTGCATACACACATTTACCTGCTGCATACACACATTTACCTCAGAAACCTGCTCTGCCTTTGTCAGCAGAGTTCATCTTTGACATCTGTGGCTCATTATTATGTATTTGGTTCATTTTAATTGTAAATTTGGAGCTGCACACTTCCACTCAGGGGTTGTCTCTTTTGTTCCGAGCTGATGCAGGTTTGTTTAAGGACAGTGATGTTCCGGGACATTTAAGGACATACAGTATCTCTGGATCAACGGCTCCAATGTGTTTGTTATGAATGAATTTCCGGTGAATTCTCATCTGTTTTCAGAAAATCGACAACTTCGTAAAGCCCTTGAGACGACTGCTGTTATTATGATTTACTACGATACTTTTACAATGGACTTTTCGAATGATTTTGACTTGGTTTTGTTCTACTTAACTTGTTATCTTGTAGTTTGAGTTTGCTTATTAGCCCCGCCCTAAAGTGATCCACCTGTGTCTACGGTGTTAATTATACCCTGTGCTTTTCCCAAATCGTTGTCCGTCCATTATCTCTGCCCCCTTTGTCCCTGTCCAATTTTTACAATTCTGTATTTTTGTGCTTTTTGTCATTCTGGATTTGAATTTGATTGAATAACATTTGATTTTCAGTCCTGCATATTGGGTTCCCTTTTTCTTTATGTCCCCACGTGACAAAACTAGCTTGAAAAGGCCATGTTGACATTTTTCGTCGATAGAACTGGTCTATATCCGTCTTTCAGGACTATTGTGTTGCCATGTTCCTGTGAGTCACTGCATCTCGCCTCCAGGACGGATCCCGCTGACTCAGTGACATCTTTACTTGGAGATCATGATATATACTGGCGTGATATTGACTGAATACAGATAGACAACACTAACCCCCCAAGCTCAATGAAGCTCAATAGAGAAGTGATGTCGCTCTGTCTCCTATTGACCCACCGCCACGTTGAAAACCTCAGAAACCTTTGTGTCACCCTCTCCATGTGAGCGATAGTATTAAGTAAGTTTGGCACTTTTTATTATTCTGGGATTTCTGTTTTAATATTGTGTGTGTAAATCCAGATATTAGCCATATGGATTGACCAATCACATGCCTTCATTTGTGTGGGACACTCCAGTTTTCCTTAGCAACCATCTTAGCAATTGTTCTGCCTCTTTCATGGAGCAAAGCTAACCCCGTCAGAACAAATGCCCATATCATGAACTTGGCTCCAGCTAGTTTATCTTCAAACACGATGGTGACGTCTGCTCTTGGTCAGTCCACAACAAGGCTGGACTGGTTATGGGTTTGACAAAGACTCTAGACCAGGGGAGTCCAAACTCACTTTGGTCGGGGGCCAGATGGTTGAGGTCAAAAGTATTATTCGACATGAGTTCATATATATTTTCTAGAAATCACAACTGAGGCCGAAAATTGAGAAGAGATGCATTTGCAGACTGTTAAATAACTACTAACTTAACTTCTAAACCTTACATTTTAGAATAGATTCAATGATATGGTTGTTTTCCTGATGGTACACTTATTTAAAATGAGGTACAACATGCCATAGTACAATGCTTCAAGTCAATGTAATAATGATAATTGAAAATCATTTCAGGGGCCACTAAAATTGGTCTTGTGGGCCGGATTTGGCACTAGGGCCTGAGTTTGGACATGCCTGCTCTACAATACAATACAATACAATACAATGCCTGCTCTAGACCAAACCTGTGTAGGAGGCCCAGGTAAATCATCATCTTCAAACTTTGTCAGAAAACAGAGATCTGGATTGCAACTCCTTTCTCGTCCTTTTTGTATATTTCTTTACCAGAATCCAGGCAAAAGAAATCTTGCATCGGTCTGACAGCAGTAGATTGAATGTACAACATGGAGTCTATGCAATATAGAACCTAGAAAGTATTTTTACAGTGTATTTCCAAACTGTCGAACACATACTATCGTTTCTTAGACCTACCTTCCCGACGTATTGATGGTCATTGCCGCCGTATTCCTCCAGCAGGAAAAACTGATTCCACATCCAGCCGCGTTTGGAGCGATGCAGGATTTTCT